AATCTTCCCAACCACTGCAGTGCCTCGCAGCCAGGAGCTGCTCCTAAGGTTCCCTGCTTGTGCCCCTGTCCCGATTTCAATCCATCTTGAGACCAGCCCTCTCAGGGAGGCTCCTGGGGAGGGGTCCAGAGGGACTTTATCTGTCCCAAGCACTGGGGAGGCATTTCCCTTTCAGCAGGAAAAGCACCCACAACACACACCCTCAGCAGGTTTCATCTGACACTCGGAGAAGTGAGAATTAAGGTCCCACCGCAGCCTCCACACAGCTCAGCCAGGAGAGGCAAGACGCCAAGAAAAATGACACGGACTTAAAGAATTACCTTTCCAAACCATCAACACTTTAAAAAATGCCAAGGATCAGAAAGGGATCTGAAACATTGTTGTTAAAAAATGTAACCACTCGCTTCTAGCCCTGGAGGCGACACCCTACATCTCACCTTCACCCTGGGGACACACACACACCCCACCTGCAGGTCCCCAGCATAGCCGGCCTCAGGGTCTAAATCTTCTCATTTTATAGAGCAATTTTGAGAGTCCTGATGGAAACTGGGACAATTTGAAGTTGCCTGTCCTTTGCAACTCTGTCAACTCTCAGTCTGAAAGTCTCACTGAAGTATACATGTGCACATGTGCAAATACACGTGTGCACATGTATGTACACAAAGTTGCACACATACACACAGGGCACAGACAGCTTACATGCACGTGCCCAAGTGCACATGCATGTGCATGCAGGTACACATGTATCTATATGCATAGACACATGCAGTCATGTACACATACACACACGTGCAAACTCACATGCACGTACACAGAGAACAGACACAAAGATGGCATGGTCGCCGCAGCAGATAGATTTGAGACTGCGACCAGGTTCTATGGAGGGAGGGCTTTTCCTTCCAGCACACACCCCCCTACAGGCCGAAATTTCCGGACTGGCATGTTAACAGGAACAATTTCTGAAAAACAAGAGTTTGCCACAAAGCTTCACGAGGTTGCCAGTCACCATAACTGTCTTATCAACATTAAAAACTGGTCAAAGATCTATCGCGCAATTGGCAAAAGCAACACAGAGGACCAGACAGCAGAGAGACTCAAGCCCCTAACGGCAAGAGGAGGCGAGAAACGAGAGGCTGCTGGCCGGCCGCCGACCGGCCTGGCAGAACCTGCCGTGCCGCGTATGATCAGTGCAGGCAACGGAGCAGGTGTGGGGGGATGTCTCCTGCGAGAGCCCCTCCGAGGCAGGACCCGGTGCTGTGCCCAGCGTCAGCTCCCCGTCCTGCAAGAACGCGGCCTGCACACGGCGCCCACCGACAGGGCCCAGGCCCCAGGGGCAGGGCAAGAGGCTCCTCTTGGTATGTGGCCCTTCTGGCCGAGTTTAGAGTTCCCCCAGAGTGACTGGCTGCACCCACAATCTTCCAAGGAACTGGTCAGTGAACTATGGAAACAGGGTCCATAAAACCACCTGACAGGATTAAGTGAGCTGTGGGACCTGGTTGATTACTATGCAAATTAAGCAGCTGTGGCTTCTCTAGGGGACCGGTCAGGTCAGTCTGTGAGCCGGAGGACCAGGACGTGGAACTGGCAGGCTTACGTAAGGGCCAATCCCACGGAGATGGACGGGGTCCTCAACATCAAGAGCCAGGGGCAGAGTGTGTCCTCTGGATTGAGGTCCCTCCTCGACACAGAAGAGAGAACCGGAAGCAGAGACGGTGAGAAATGGCAGAGCCCAGCGGCAGAGAAATGCTGACAGCAGCATGAGCAGAGAAAGTCAGGACAAGGCGGCTGCAGTGGGCTGGCTGACCCCAGGAGCGGGAGGGCTGGGAGCCTAAGGGCAGGAGACCTGCTGGCGGAATGGGGTGCCTCCAGGCACGTGCTGGCAGCGCTAAACACTTGCCTGAGCAGGGTACGGCCAAGCGAACACCCAGCAGTGAGCAGCAAGAGAAGGGCTGCCCGCTTGAGGCACGGCCGAGAAGCTGAGAGCCGTCTTGGATGGCAGCCATCCTGCTTGAAGAAGTGTATCCTGTTCCTTCCAAGTTGATCCTGATCCTGAATTGCAACCTGTTACTTTCCTAACAAGCCCCACAATCACAAGCCTGGTCTGCAAGTTGTGTGTGGCCACTGCAACAGATTTTCAAACCGAGCAGAGCAGCAGAACGCCGTGGGAGGGCCGGCTGGTGTCAGAACTGATAAAACGATTGGTGGGCAGAGGTGTATCTGACCTCCACCTCACGGCAACCAGCTCTATGCTGACCGTAAGCTTTGAGGTGATCAGGCACTACTGGGTCCCACCTGCGACCACCGCACAGCCCCACAGTGCAGGACCTGGGGGTGCTGGCAGATGGTCCCAGACACTCCCATGAGGATCCGGTGACAAGACAACTGCAGAAGAGCACACAGAACGAGTCAGTGCAGAGGCGTGTGCACCTGTGTGCGCGTGCATGAGTGCAAACACGTGCGCGCATACTCAACCACGCACTTCAGATCAAACAGGAACCACGGAGACCTCTGAGCACCGTGTGCACTGGGGTGAGGCTGGGGGCTCGGGGCTCAAGGTGCACGTTTTTATTCTATTAAGGGTGCTCTATTTACATCCCTAAAATCAGCATAAAGTCACTTCATAATTTAAACAAAACAGCAGACAGTACCCCAAGTGCTCAGGATGATACCATCGGGAGACCCTCGAGGTCCCCTCAACGTCCTAGGGACACCAACCTCCGCCCTTCCTCTTCTACAAGTCCTGCCCAGCCCCCAAGCCCCCTCCAGCCGCGTCTCCTGAACAGCCCATCTCCGTCGGGCTCCGTCCCCACCGTCTGCCGGTCCCCACCTCATCCTCCCAGTCCTCATCCCCACGTCCACCCCGTCCCCATCATCACGCCTAGCCCCACTGCCCAGCGTCCTCAGCCCAGGGCTCTCGGTCCGGGTCTGGCCACCTGCCTCCAGGTGCTCTGTGCTGCCCTGAGACATCTGCTCTGTTTCCCAGGATGGCCGCTGGGATGCTTAACACCGGGGACGTGTGTGAGTCTGCCCACTTCCTGACATCCCACTGCTGAGGGCTGGGAGGTCAGGCTCCCAGGGCGCCCGTCACTGCGTGCCAGGCCAGCAGCAGGAGGGACCTCCCACCGACTTCCACCTGAGGTCCTGACGCCCTGGCACATGTGTGTGGAAACCATCACCGGGGCCCTCGGAAAGCAGCCACCCCATCGAGCTCTCCCCAGCCCATCCTGGCCTCCCCCACTCAGGAGGCGTCCGAGGAGCTGGGTCCAAGGCGAGATGGGACAAAACGCTGTGTGCGCCTGCCCTTGGCCCCGGGTGCCGGGGGGGCCCCGAGTGTGCACACTCCAGGAGAATGCCCCTACTGTGGCCTTGCCCCAGCCTCTCCTGAACAATTCAGACAAATCACGTCCGTCTGACTGTCCTGATGTCGAGCCCTAAGCACCCTCCCCTCACAGGGTGCCCTGAACCAGGTGAGTCTCAGGTGGCCTCTCAGGTGAGGGTCGAGTTCTGCTCAGAGGACACCTGGAGCACTCCCTGTTGTGGCGGACAGGCACTCAGCTCCCAGGCTGTGCCACCCACCCGACCCACAAGCCACATCGGGCACATCCGCACACAGGCCCAAGCTGCCTCTCCCTCCTCTAATCTCCTCTCCCCGACCTCCCATTCACTGAGACTTCCATACCATGAGCATTTTTATGGCCAACGTAAGTCCCTCTGAGAGTGAGGCACTGCGTGAACCAACCACAAAGACCACCACAGTACTACCACCACAACCAAATGGACACAGCAAGGCCTACAGGCAGCTCCCACCGCAAACTGGCTAGTGGCTTGCCGTGAGAACCGGGAAGCCGAACCCACAAAATGCTCCAGACACGAGTCCAGAACTTTCTCAAGAAGAAACAAGGAATGAAGCACGTCCTTTGGACCCAGGATCCTATGCTGGGAACCTCTTAGACCCAGGAGACAGAGAATGACGGTGAGAAGTGGTGGCCCCAGAGACAGCAGGACCGAGACCCACAGGAGACAGTGCAGTGGGCTTCCCAGAGTGCCTTCGGGCAGGAAGCCTCCCGGCAGAGTGGGGGTCTCCAGGAACTTGGTGGGGCTGGGGTCACTGACCTACCAGCAGGAGAGCAGAGCACCTCAGGTTGTAGCGTACCAGCAGACTGCAGTGTCTCTGGGCACTGACTGTCAAGCTGAAGACCTTCGTAACACTTACCCCAGCAGGACAGTCACACTGGCCCAAACGGCCCCCGGCCCAAAGAGAGGTGTGCCTGTGGGCACTGCTGAGAGGAGGCTGTCCTGACCCGAGTGCTGTATCCTGAGTTGCTTCTGATCCTGAACTGTACGCTGTTACTTCCCTAACAAACGCCATAATCCAGAGTTTTGCCCGTGAGTCGTGTGTGGCCACTGCTACGAGTTATGAACCCAGCAGAGGAATGGAGTGTGACCTGGAAGGACCCACTGCTGGTGTGAGGACTGGAAACCAGGCTGGAGCGAGGAGGTGTGCCTCGCCTCCACTCACACAATCAGCCTCGGCCTGCTGCTGCCCACACTGATCCTCCCTCCCGCCACGCCACTTCCTGGAGTGGCGCCGAGCCAGTTCAGACCGACAGCGACCCAGGGCCCAGAGCAGAGCCGCCCTGCAGGGGCTCCCAGCTGTAATCTTCACGTGAGCAGGCTGCCAGGTCTTCCTCCCACAGAGACACTAGGTAGGTTCCAACCACTCTGCTTTTGGTTCGCAGGTGAGCACTTAACCACTGTGTCACCAGGGATCCTTGAGGAGATCCGGCTGCCTAGCGCCCATGCCTCCAAATGACCTGGCGTCTGAGTCGGTCCAACTCAGTCACCTGTCTCCTTGGACAGGTCAGCACCGCCCCTTGAGCTCCTGAACTCCACAGGTCTGTCCAAACCCAGCACCTCCAGACCTTCACATGGGAACTAGTAGTTAAGGCGGCACTCGCCCAAAGCCAGACAGGGACTATTTTACCGGCCAGGGGGGAGAAGCAGCAGTGGTTCAGTGGTAGAACTCCCGCTTTCCACGCTGGGGCCTGGGTTCCATTCCCAGCTGATGCACCTCACACACAGCCATCAGCCATTTGTCAACAGAGGCTTGCACATTGGGCGGCTCACCCAGAGGTTGGTGGTTTAAACCCACCCAGTGGCTCTGCAGAACCAAGGCCTGGCAACTGTGTTCCGTGAGGGTCCCACCCGAAGCCCCATGGAGCACTGGCTTCTGTGAAGGTCCCGTCCAAAGCCCCACGGAGCACTGTCTTCTGTGAGGGTCCCACCCAAAGCCCCATGGAGTGTTCGTTGTCTTCTGTGAAGGTCCCATCCGAAGCCCCTCGGAGCACTGTCTTCCATGAGGGTCCCGTCCGAAGCTCCATGGAGCACTGTGTGCTGTGATGGAGGGTGCTGTCATGAATCGGGGACAACTGGGAACAGCAGTGGTGACGCTGACCAGGCCTCAGAAGAGCCTCCAGACCAGGGGGTGGGGGGAAGGCCTGACAAGCTACTTCCAGAAGGTCACTGATGCAAACCCAACGGGTCCCAACGGTCTGAGCCACACTGATCACAGGACAGCGCGGAGCAGTGCAGCGCTTCATACCACTGTGCGCAGGGCCAACTTGACAGCAGCTCAAAACGGAAGCAGTGACAGCAGAGAAGGGGGAGGAGTCAGCCAGTGTCTAAGGGCGTGGGCTGCACCAACAGTCCTGTCCCCACAGAACTCGCCTCCTGGGCACCTGGAAGCAGC